TGATTTAGAGTGTTCAATCAGCCTGCCATGCATGTTTTTGGAATGTAGGAGGAAACCGGAGTACCCGGAGAAAACCCATGCAGGCCCGGGGAGAACATGCAAACTCTACACAGGAAGGCTGCAGCCGGGATCGAACACACGACCTCTGCACTGTGAGGTCGACACGCTAACCACTGGCCCACCGGGCCACGTCAATAACAATGCTACTACTAATTATGTATGTACTCCAGCCCGATGGTAAGCCGTGGCTTTCCAAAGTAGGGCTTCTGGAAGACATCTCACCAAAGGTGCTCATTATTTGGAGACAAAATCCATTGTCTTTTGCTAGTAGCAATGTTGATTTGTGTCGCTATGGGGCCACTCTGCTCTATTTTTATTTTCACTTGGGTGTCGTATTTTGTGCCATATTACACGGAAACGTGTGTTGGTGTGACACTAAAATTACATCATTCCTTGGATTGTCAATGCCATTTGTTCAACAAAGTCTTGGTTCGAATTATGAATATGCACATGCTAATTTTGATAAATCACGGTGTTCCATCAGAAACTTCTGCAGCTGCAGAACTTCAACACTTTAATGGCGGTGGTGGGAGGGCTGAGCCACAGCTCCATTTCTCGTCTGAAGGAGACGCAATCTTATCTATCTGCGGAGGTAGTTAAGGTAAGTCAATACAAAACTGACTGTGTGTATTTGTATCCTTCTATGTCTTTTAGAAGACAACTGAAAAGTGGGAAAAAAATTGTGCCAACTGTCTGAACCCAATCCCAGATGTGGCGTGAAATGACTGAACTGGTCTCTTCCAACAATAACTACTCCTACTACCGCAAGGCCTTCAGTGACTGTCAAGGCTTTAAAATCCCCATCCTGGGTGTTCACTTGAAGGATCTCATAGCCATGCACGTGGTCTTTCCGGACTGGGTGGAAGACAGCAATAAGGTGAACCTAGTGAAGATGCAGCAGCTCTACATGACTTTCAATGAGCTGGTGTCATTGCAGAGCACAACGGCTCAAGTGGAGCCCAACATGGACCTGATCGACTTGCTCACGGTGAGGCAACAACACAGGAGAGTTGGAAATGTGTACTGTATGTTAGCAAAATCATCTCATCACTAATATTGAATACTCTAGGAGAGAAAAATCAACTGTAGCTCTGGGTTTTAAAAATGCTAATCAGACAAAACCTTTTCAGCTTTCTTTAGATCTTTACTACACTGAAGATGAGATTTATGAATTATCATTGCTACGGGAGCCGCGAAATCCTAAATCACTGGTAAGTTTGCTTCTAAAGCATCACCTGTCTAAAGCAGCCCCTCCCCCCACCCCCACCCGAGGGCGCGGTGCAATGTCATGCGGGCGTGTGAGAACATGCGTTTTTTTTTTTTTTTTTCTGTATTAGACTAAAGTTGAATTGCACATCCACTATAGTAGGTGGCAGCGACGCTCTTATTTTTCAGAAAGTGCACAAGGAGTACCTACAAAAATTTCATAGACAAATTATACTATTTATAGTTGGGCAGAGAGATGAGGGGGCGGGAAATATTTTCTCTTCTGGAAGGTTTGTGAGAAATTTGCCTCGTCTTTGTGACAAGAAAACTGCGACCTTGAACGAACCCCGACAAAAAATTTGCTACCCTCGCAAACTTCGTGGGTTGCATGCTAAAATGGTTCCATGTATTCTAATGAGAGCCAAATATGCCGAGAATCAATTTTCTTCGTGTCGTCTTGCAGCCTACCTCTCCCACAACTCCTAACAAGCCGCTTGTACCGCTGGACTGGGCTTCAGGTGTCATGACCAAACCAGACCCCACTTTGGTCAATAAACACATCAGGAAAGTGGTTGAGGTGAGGACTCAATATCTTTTTTCTTACTTTCACAGATAAAGGCAAGAGTGGAATATTAGTGGCATTACGTTCTTTCTTTTTTGGCTACCGGCAGTCAGTGTTCAGGAACTACGACCCAGACCATGATGGCTATATTTCTCAAGAAGACTTTGAAAATATTGCTGCTAACTTTCCCTTCCTGGACTCCTTCTGCGTTTTGGACAAAGATCAGTGAGTAGTGCGATCCTAAAAGTGACCACAAAAGTGTCTGTATTGTGAGAAAATCTGCATTTTTTTCTGCCGCAGAGATGGCCTGATCAGTAAAGACGAGATGATAGCGTATTTCCTTCGAGCAAACCCGTTGCTCCAGTGTAAAATGGGTCCAGGATTCCTGCATAACTTCCAGGAAATGACATATCTGAAACCCACCTTCTGCGAACACTGTGCTGGCTTTGTATGTATCTCTTCAGTGTCATCTCTGCAGTCTGCATGCATCTCCTTGGTTTTAGTACTTAGCAATGTACATGCAAAATTCCAGCGCTGAACAGTTCAGATGTTTCCTCAATGTCATTGGTTGAGATTCTGTGCTTGAAAGCCAAGTCATGAAGGACCAACTGTTGTTTGTTGTTCGTATGTGTGCACTCCATTCGCCATGAATCTTACATGGATCTTATTTTCCTCATCTCCTTGCAGCTCTGGGGGATCATCAAACAGGGCTACAAGTGTAAAGGTACGACATTATTGTATAAGTTGTCTTCTTGGGGTTTACTGCTAAATTGGATCCTATCCCAATGGACTTTGGAAGAAACGTGGGATACAGCACGATAAGAGAGTAAGTTTGTCCTGAGAAACAGGGCAGGCTTTGCGGCCAGAAAGGTGCCACCACATAACATTCTGCAGGTGCGCCATAATAGTGGAAGGTAGTTGGATCGGGGTGGAAAAGCTAATGAAGGCGTTGATAGATGGAGTCGTGTGATATCCCCCTGAAAATGTTGTGATGAATGCCCGAAGACGGCTGGGATAGGCTCCAGCATGCCAGCGAAGCTCGTGAGGATAAGCGGGTCAGAAATGGATGGATGGATAAAAGTTAGAACAAAATGTTCTTGTCTTGGTTGTGATCTCTTCAATGGTGATATTGTATGTTTTCAACACCTTGAACAAAGACCCACTTTTGTCAATGAACTGTTGTGGCTCATCGACTTCATCGACGTGAATTTGAATTTTGACTTCACAGACTGCGGTGTCAACTGCCATAAACAATGTCGGGAGCTCCTGGTTTTCGCTTGCAGAAAGCTGCTACGCTCTGGTTCCCTTGGGTGCGTGACCCCTGACAGACTGACACACAGCTCGTTGCCTAGCAGCCCAACACTAAACACCTGTAATGGTCAGTTATCTTTTCTGTGTTGAGCCCAAATACAAAATACTATTTTCTTTCGCATCGCTGGTCATCCGTTACTTTTCCTTCAGACAAGGACGAGGTGTTTGAATTCCCCAGTGTAACAGCAGCACGCCCTATTCGGGATACAAAAAGCATCACCCTCATGACTGGCTCAGCCCAGAGGATCTCAGTCCGCCTGCAAAGGGCCACTATCAGCCAAGCCACTCAGACTGAACCTCTGTGGTCAGAACACAGTTGGGGGACCGCAAACAGCGGATCCCACACCTTCCCCAAAACCAAGTACCGCACTCAAAGAGAGACCTGTAAAAATAAAGCTTTTACATCATGGGAAAACGAGGACAAGGGGCCACGGCAGTTGGTACAATGCAGCGGTCCCAGTCTGGAGAAGACGGATGTCCTTGGAGAGCTTGTGGCGATCACAGATCGCAGGATCACACGCAGAGGCAAGGTAAGACAAGTGGTGGTGGAAGTATTTCAGCTAACGGGAAACATCATTTAGAAACAATATACAGTGAAACTCCTCTACAACGAAACCTACATGGGCGAAAATACCCCTAATGTGAAAAAATCTTCATGCATGAACACCATTCCCACTTTCCTGCCCCCCATACAACGAAAAAAAACCCTGTTGCGTTATACGAAATATTTTTCTCTGCTCTTGCCTCCCGACAAGATCCACTACAACAAAGTCTAATCCAAAAGCGACCTTTAACTGCTTCGTTCGGAAACAGCAACAGCAACCACCACACTGGTTTACACATGCGCAGTAGTCCAGGAAGTATTTGTTCTTGTTAGTTTCAGACGCAGCAAGAATGTTGCATTGCTAAAATTGCTACAAAAGGGACCTTTGGATGTCAAGCAAGAGTGATCAAAATGAAAGACGAAGGAAACAAAATAAAAGACATTATCCAAGAAATTGATGTAAGTGAAAGTGAATGCAGATCGTAAATTTCGCAATTTCTTTCCCTTTTTTTCTTTCTACACTGACTATATGAAGTGTCAAACAAGTGTATGCTCATACTTTGGCACTATTGGAATAAAAATAAAGAGTACACACACGTTTGTGTGTGTGTGTGTGTGTGTGTGTGTGTGTGTGTGTGTGTGTGTGTGTTCGCGCATTTACATCTGAGATCAAATTTGCTACAGTGAAAAACCCCTTGTGAAAAATTTCTTGCTGTAAACATGATTTCGTTGTAGAGGAGTTTCACTGTACTGTGTACATGTATTTGTTGTGTAAAGTTGGGTTCTTGTTGAAATGATATCAAAGCTGAGTTGAAAGATTCTAGTGTATTCAATTTATGTTGAAACAGATTGAAAATCATTGGATTCTGTTTTCATCGATGTTTTACTTGTCTAAAATTTATCAGAATTAGGGTCTGTCTTGTTTTCATAAGCAACACATTTTGCATTGTAAGTATAGTAAATGATTGTTTTTTTTTTTTTTTTTTTTTTAATTAATTTGCTATTTGTAGGGTACAATAACAATCTGATTGGTGGCAGAGTATCCCAAATTCCCAAAAGATTTGTCTGCGAGTTGACAAATATCAGAGATGAAAGTCCTCCGGGTTTTGCCGGAATTCCGGGTTTTTCAAATTTTTATGAAAATTTCTCCGGAGAATTGAGGAAAATTTGCATAATCCGGATATTTGTTGACAACATTGAACGAAGACGCGTTTGAGTTCGTTGTATTGCTTTCACGAGCGTAGCCATATTGAGGCACTAACACTAGTAACAGTAAAGAGATTTTTGTTTGTGTAATAACGACAGAAGGAAGGCATGATGGCGTTTGACTAATGGTTTAGTAGAACGAATGGCAACTCGCAGCAACAGTAGCAAGCGTCATTTTGCCTCTTGGGTTATACCATCTCAACTAGAACGTGGGGGATAGTCCCCAAACAATTTTCGTCTCTTTATAAACACACCCGCTAAACCCCAGTGGAAAGAATAAAAGAGGCCGTCAACAAGACAGTTGTCGTAAAATATATATTTGGCCAAAAAGGAAAAAACACAGATTGGCAGAAAATCGGGTCCGTCCGACATAGTGTCGTCTCGGCTAACTTAGCTTAACTGTTGTCGTGTGTGACGTCGGTTGCGTCAGCGCTGATTGGTTGAAATCAAAAGACGTGCTTGCGTACATGTTCGCGCTGAAGCACGCACAGCAGAGAGCAGCGGACTATCTACTGCTGAGGCTCGCTTAGCTTGAGTGGAGTCGCCACAACAGTAATACCCTCGCCTCGCATTCTCATGGCCTCGCCATATCTTGGAGATTTCGAAATTTCGGCCCGAACGGAAGCCACAAAGGGTACACGTGTGCACTCAAAAGAAAGATTAATCATTGAATGTCGAGTATTTGAATAGCGTTTTGTATAAACGAATTCATGCTTGATCGGCCAAGTGCGTGCGTGCGCGCGCGCATGCGAGTGTGCGTGTGTGTGCGCGCGCGCACACACACACACATTTATTTATTTTTCCCGGAATTTTCAGAAAAGTCCACTTTCATCTCTGAAATATGCATGGAGTGAAAATGCCAAAGTTGATCCAAATACAGTATTGCTTCTCTCCTTTCAGGACAGCTGACTTGGTAAAAAATGTAGAAACCGCCAGTCTCGGGGGTCCAGAAAACCCCTCGTGACTGGTACCAAGAAGTTCTTCTGTCTGGGAAGGTGCATGGCTCTTTGATGTCAACATTTCACTGAGTGGGTGTCATCATGTCCCTCTTTGGGCTCCGGCAAGGACAGCGAAACATGCTAATGCCTTTGCTCAACAACAGGGCAACATAAGATGTATGACAAATCTCAAAGCACAGTGGATAGGGAAGTGGTCCCTCTATGCGTTACCCAAAAAACTGCACTTCCAGCCTCAGGACGAGGTGACGATGGACTTTATTCCTAGTTTGCTCCAGAAGACGCAATGCCAGCACAAAGCAAACGTTTTTACGAGACAGTGTGTGGCTAATCGTAGCCATTTTCTTTATCATGGCAATCTTAATTCTAGCTCAGAAACGGGTGTGAATTTTGGTTGACAATTTAGAAAGAGACAATACCTTACTTGCATGTGGATTGTGACGTTACAAATAAAGGGAATGTCAAGATAAAAGGACTCAATGACATTTTTAGCAGGGAAGATTCTGCTACACAATGAAATTGAACAATAAAATTGTTACTTTCATTATTTAAGTGTAAAGTACATCCATATGGCAACTCGAGTTTAAACTCATGCAATTATCAAATTATATATTTTTTTAATTCATTTTTTTTTTTCAGTGAAGAACAGTTTTTGTAATAGTACTTATTTTAGAGTGTCATGGTCAATGCTTTGCGAAGCGGGAGGTATAACATTTTTGGCGATGTCACCACACAATTAACCAAAGTAACGTGATCAGACCTGGCAATACATAAAGAAAGATGGGCGATGATCTTCTAAAGAGGCAACTCAGCTTACTCCCACTCACTCCCATAAATAATACAGGAATACACGTGGGGCAACAAAAAACATTTATGAAGCACAATTTAAACTTGTTTCAAAGCAGAACAAACAAGTTTCAAACTTCAACAAATACCAAAATGTACTGAGTGAAATAGATTTTTTTGGGCTTGCTACAAGGGTAGCGAATTAAGTCCAATATCGCTTTTCTGTGCAAACGACCTCCTGGATATTAATTTATCTGCTGCTGTGATAAAACATATTGTTCAGCTTGTTATATCCCATCTGTGCCTTTTTTTCCGCACCGAACAGTGGCTTTTGTAGAGAACGATCCTAGCTGAAACTGTCCCACAAGCCTTTAAACAAACTGATGAAGCAAAATGTCTTACAGCTGATCCAGATGGATGGAAGAATAGTCAGATACATTACTGGGAGATTATGACTAGCTGAAGCTATACTGTTGAAGTCAAGGGAGAAGGAATGGATGCTATAATTTGAGACCATTGCAAGGGTTGAGATGAATACGTCTTCAAATGCAAAACGGCAGCAATGTGATTCTATACAATTAATCCAGATTGTTCAATGAGAGGCCAGCCAGAAACGGGTTTAAGATAACTTTATAAAAATGCAAATTTAACAAAATGTTTACATCAGTTCATTTGGAAGTGACAGCAAAGATGTGTTACCACATTACAAAGTAAAAAAGGAAAAAAAATAATTCCATGTGGGCTAATTCATAATCGTTATCCAAACCGAGAATCAGAGAACAATAAAATTCAATTGAAGCATTAGTACAAAACCAGAGGGAGGCATCGTGAAGAAATAAGTCATTGCTGCAATAAACTTTGGATTTTACCAGTGCATCTGCAAGTTTCTAGGGTCACCCTATCGACTGCAACAATACCCGTTCAACAATATTCAAGATATGGCTCTTTAAACACACTGAACAAACAAAAACGAGCCTTTGTGTATCAAACCTGGATGTCGAAACGGAATTGCAATTAGGTGTAGCTTTTCCAAAACGGGGCATTACAACAAGACAAAACTAAGCAAGCTCCTTTGGCTTCCGAACAGTGTCTGTTACTGGCAACAGGAATGTGCTGTTAACAGTCTGAATGTTTCTAATAAACAATCCATGCTTACATGAAACTCAAATTCAGGCACAATCCATTCATTCTCTCGTGCGTTCTCTATCCATTCTGCTCTCTGGTCCATTTACAGCATGTCGTCATCTTCGCCTCCCCCGAACATGTCAGAGAGCTTTTTGAAGCGAGGCCCCCAGTCCCCGAGGTGGTCATAGTCCTGGTCGCCGCTGCTGGACGAGTTCAGTGAGGACAGGCTTCCTGCATCAGAGCCACCTCCCTCAAAGTCAAACACCAGCAGGGAGTCATAGGGGGGCGCTGTAGGGTCATTGTCGGCAGCCTTCAGGTTCTGCAAGGAAGCACATGCAAGGGTTGTTTCGGTAAGCTTTTGAATAAGAGTTGAAAACCTATCAATGAGGACATACTGTTTCGATACAAACGTGTATCAGAATGCATCAAGCTGAGTGAGCAAATGTGGGTCATTCAGAACGCTACATTCTTAGCACTTCGACTCACATCATCAATGAAGTTGCCAATTTCCTCCGGGTTGGCGGGACGAGGCCTGTACTGCGGAGCTGTCAGGAAGATGGGCTTCACATCGTTCCTGAACACCTCAGGGCGGTTGTCCAAACCTTGGTGGAGAACACCGAGATCATAGTCCTGGAAGACAGATTACACATTAAGACATACAATCACACTGATGAAAAACACCATGTGATTAATAGATTTTTGGGGTATGTAAAGAAAAATGTTTTCCACGTAATAATAAACTGCCAACTGGTTTTCATTTTTAGATCATCAACATTTTACACATAAGTTTAAATATGTCATATATCCGAATGGTGCCACCTTTGCGTCAATTTGAGCCAGGAAAAACACGGTACATACCCACACACACACCTCACAGGATGAAAAGTGTATCTGCCAGTGTTTCCCAAACTTCACTGAGCCCAGGCACCAATTTTACCATAAAAATACCACCAAAGAATAATTACAAATATTACTCTCAAATTTCTCACAAATGTATTTACTGAATATGAAATGTGAGCCTATTTATTTGAGTACAAAGCTGCCATAGCCTACTTGCAGGAAGGCATGACTTGTTCTGTCGTATGAATTGCACCAGGTGGATAGACTGGTTTGTTGTAAAAAGAGCTTTTACTGTTTATTTCAGACTATAAGTACCTTTTTCCCTGCCGCCATAGTTTGGCTGGTCCTTCAAACTTAGGCTCAGGTGCAATCTGTATTAAAATTAGAGCTTGGACTGGAGCACGATTCGTGCTGACAGCAGCAAATAAATTCAGATTAAATTCAAAACATCCCCTTCTAACTACGGGGAACTTTTTTGTTGACAATAACTTCTCTTCAGGTGAAGGTGGCTGTAAAGCAACACAAGTATTTGCCAACCGTCAAAAGAAAGTGGAAGAAGTGGAATAAGAACAAGAACAAAAAGAAATGGTAGTATTTGTAGTAATAGTCATGGAAACTAATATGCGACATATTCAGCGAGCTCGGAATTCAAGCTTGCGACATTCACCCACAAGAAGAATTGACTATTTAGAGCGGCACAAGGCGCAATAACCAAGCTATCTTAAACGAAAACCTTTTCCACAGTTTCAAAGTTCAAATCCAACCAGAGCTTGTTTGCTGCCGTCAGCACGATTCGGGGATTTTGGGTGCCAGTCCGAGCACTGCTCTTGTTTTTGTAGCATCAACTTCCCTAAACTATGAGACTTAGACCCCGGAGCGACTATATGCTGCTGGCATAGATTGATGAACAAAGATATATTTGTAAATAATCATTTTTGGACAAATTAAGTCAAGTTGGACAGTTTCCCACTCTTTGCTGAATGACCAATTGCATCGGTCAGTGTTTGGTACTTGATGCAAAACTTACACAATGCAGACACTGACGTGACTGCATTGTGTTTCCCAACATGCTGACGTACCCGATCATCCTCTCCACCTCCCTCTTCGTCATAGTAGTAGATGTTGTCCCGGATATCATCTTCCTGCAGTAAAGGCTCCTTTGATTCTCCCCTTCGCCGTCTTGCAAACAGCAGCAGGAGTAGCAGCAACACTTGACACGGAACCAAAACAAAAATAATAAACAACTACATCGGAGATTGAGCTGCACAGCTGAGGATTAGAGCAAATCGAGTCAGCGGCATTGTGATGAAAACAAAACCCAATGTCAGACTCACAGAGAAGCAAAAGGATTCCTCCCAGAATTCCCAGGATAACAGGCAGTTCGGTGCCGCCCGCCACTCGTCCTTTGCACACCACTTCTTCCCCAGTGCAGTCACACACTTTGGCCTGAACTGTGCTGTCCTGCTCCAAACCCTGGTTGTCCGCCACTCGAAGAACCACAGTGTATTCTCCACTTGGCAGCTCCGTGGCCAAGTTCAAGATAATACCCGTTTCTGGAACAACAGATGATCATTCTTTTAATCACTCCGCATTTTCAAGTGAGACGGGCTTCAAAATGAGTGAATGTGTGAGACTGAGCCCAGTACTCCCAAAACTCCGCACGTTATGTGTTGATGTTCTCGGTTTCATGGATGCAAAAGGAAATAAACGTTATCGGATTCACATGGATATCTTGGTGTGATTGAACTTACTGGAGGCGTTCATTCGAGCAGTCCAGTTGTTCTTTGACATGCCCTCTAAAGCGACTCTATAAGGAGCAGCAAAGCCAGGCCCATCTTTATCAGTTACTGATAGCAACTGAGAAACAGGTTTTTTGTTGCACACCTGTGGAACACAATATTGCATTTAGAGTTGCAGAATAGACATCAAAAACGACCTTGCCATGACCCATCAATCATTCTAAGCAGTGATTCTCCAAGTGTGGTTCGCGAACTCTCGTGCTGTGTAAAAGAATTACTATATTCATCCATCAATATCTGAACAGCAATACAAATAAAATACATTTAAAACATGACATAAGATAAGATAAGATAAGAAAACCTAGAAATCAAACATATTAGAAGGAATGTAAATATGCTTCTAGGTAGCCAACAGCCATGCATAGGATTCAAAACGGTTCACCTCAGTGGCAGGCTGTGAGTGTGAAAAGAATTGGAAGTGACTATGGTGAACGCAGGCATATTCAGTGTTCAGCATTTACAAATTTGCTGAGAAACTTAACTGTAGCCTTATTTTGTGGTCATGGGATCAGGTGGCATCTTGGTGTCAAAAAAGTATGTTAAAGTGAATTGCGGAGTTGCATATAGACTTCTGTAATATTTTACCACCAGTTTGGAGAATCTATCGGCAAAAACAAACCATTTTGAGGGGCCTTCAATTACTTTTCGATTTTCCATCCAAAACCATCACACTTCAGTACTTTTTAAAGCACAACCAAGTTGCAGTTCACTTTTAGGTGAAACATATTTGAATGTGAGATTGTTATACTTTTGAACACAATTTTTATTTCACTTTCAGGTGTAGTCCATGTACTTTAATTCAATAACTGATTTTTTTTCTCCATGTTACCGTATTGAAGCACAGTGATAGTGATCAAACAGAGAGAGAGCGAGAGCGAGAGAAAAAGAGCGAGAGAGACTTACGCTAATTAAACA